GGGCCATGTTCACTGCACACACTGCAGCGCAAGCAAGGCAGGCCATCATCACCCCTGTCAATTAACAACCAATCAAACCGCGGGAGCCATTTCGTCATGTAGTTTCTCTGTGCTTCCTGAAACTTCGCTTCAACGCGTTCAGCTGCAGTCTGCTTGAGAGGTGACGACGCTGGAGTGACAGTGGGAGGTGGCGGAGGAGGAGGTTTCACGAGAGGCGTGCCGGCGTCGAACCCAATAGTAGTCTGCGTGTAGCGGCGTCGTTTCAGAGCTACAGAGCTAGAAGACTCCGGGGCTTCGGTTACGAACTCCGTTGTCTCAACGTTGTCGTGAACGACGGGGTCCGCCTCAATGCGTGTGGGACGTTGCCATTCAGCGTCGTCTGATTCTAGCTCCTGCTGTCGCGGTGGTGACTGTGGCACAGCTTTGCGCACAAATTGCCACCCCTCATTGTCAACCGAGGGCTCTGGCAAAGGGCGAGATGCAACTTCTGTAACATGGCCTCGCAATAAATCAAGGCCTGTCCTTGGCCAGTTGCTACTAGAAGGGTCGCCATCATCAGCATTGGCAGCGTCTAGGTCTCCAGACCCTGCCATGGCTACGAGGTGGTGGTAGCTCGGCTGCTAGAGCGAGTGGTTACAACAAGTGGAAATTTGGGGTGGTGGTGGAATGACGGTGTGTGGCGATACTGCTTGCTGTGCTTGCCGAACCAACACGGCAACGCATCGGGACAGAAACACCAGGAGCGCCTCGGTCGGGGACACGGATACGGTAGCATCTCCACGCACCGACAGTCTGAACGTGGTCCCAGTTGTTGGAAACAATTGATTTAAGCGCCTCTGTCGTGTCGAAACACCAAGTCAGAAGCGAAGCGAAACATATCGAAGCATCAGCGAGTCAACCCTTGGAGGTTGAACAACTGCTGGAGGTTACGCGAAAGTCAAAGGTCAGCGACCTTTGACCTGACAAATACAGCGCGACAGCAAGGACAAACAACAGACTCGCTACTGAGCAGTTGCCCGAGTCGACACTGTATCAAACCGCAACAGCAACAGTAAAACGGTTATTAACCGTATCTCTTCATATTCCTTGTATCCTTATAAAAGCTTGTATCTCTTTGTTTTAATCAATCAACTTTGCCCTCACATACCAGCGCAAGGTGGTTCACAAGCCTTTTACTTAGCGCTTCCGCTATTACATTGTCCTACTCGGAATTTAGTCCTGCAAAGATCCTAAGGGCTTTTTCAGCCCAACACTAGTGGCTAGACCTAGTTCAGGCAGCAATACTGTAGTTGCCCCCAACACTGGGTTGCGTGTCGTGCTGGCAAGGGAATTATTCCTAACTGACCAATCGGACACGATCTGACAAATCTCGGGAAAAAAAAGGGGGGGAGGGGGGGGGGGGGGGGGGGGGGGGGGGGGGGGGGGGGGGGGGTCCCTGTACGCCCTTCAGTGTAATCTTCGATATCTATAAAATTACACCAAGGCATCAGTGTGGCCTACAACGATACCCTTACAGATCAGTGTAACACCAATTCACCAAAAAAATACCCCAGCCCATCAGTGTTGACTCAAAATTTCACCCTTATTATCAGTATAGAAGGGTAAATTACACTGCAAACCTGAGCCCCGTCAGGGACTGCCTCTTTGCCATATGCCCTTCAGCTCGTGACAGCAAGTCAACCCCTATACGCGACCCAATATCTCCTTGTATCTTATGACCTGTTCAGCATATCACTGAGATACAGGTCAACGGGGAACCTTCCTCTTGTACGCACGTCCAGCTGTCCCTCCCTCGCTATGCAAGGTTGATGAGGCGAGGCTGCTTCCTTGTTCGCTGCAGCATGTGCCTATAAGCCACCCCTATACAATTTCAAAACCTCAATGTCACGACCTGTCCAGCATGTCAGTAAGATACATGTTCACAAGGAACCTTCCTCTGGACTGCACGTCCAGCTGTCGCTCCCTGGCAGTGTACCGGCCCTTGTGCAGCCGGTACCGATAGGTCACTCCCAGCACCACGTAGCTTTCGCCTTCTATCTCCACTGTCTCGCCACATTGGGTGTTCTGGAGGAGGGAATGGAGGTTTGGGGCGAGAGGGTGGGGGAATGGGTACGTCACTCCCAGCACCATGTAGCTCTCGCCCTCTATCTCCACCGTCTCGCCGCATTGGGTGTTCTGGAGGAGGGAAAAGAGGGGTTTTGATATTTTACTGAATCTTAGAACACAACATCTGAAGCTTTCTTCTCCTGTATTCCATCTGAGCACATTATGTCCAATAGAGAACAGAGAACGGACAATGGACGGAACAAACGTCGAATGAGAAGGCAGCCACTCGCTGCTACTCCTTGCTGGACCTCCAACATACCAGCTATCCTCGTTATAAGCTCACCGGAGGCAGGCAATGGATCCCCAATTCCCTGGCTGGTGGAGTCACAATCTTTATCGCGTACGGATGCTGTGCCACGTCAGCCTTATCGCCACCCGCACCCAGCGGTCCGCCACTCTTCCCCACGTCGCCATTCCCGCCTCTCTCCCTGTTTCCTCCTCTCTCCCTCGTCCCGTCTCCATCTCTGTTCCCTCCTCTCTCCCTCTTCCCCTCTCCATCTCTGTTCCCCCATCTATCTCTGTCGTAAGGTGACGACCTCCCGCGTCTACACTCCACTAGCAGCAACGGCGCGCGAGGAACTGACGCGGCAGCTGACGTTGCAGCAGTCGTCCTATCGTACAGCGACACGTGCCCTGAAAATGAGGCTGTTGCTGCAATGCTCGCGGCGCTACCTCCTGTTCCTGGCGCTCCCGAAATGCGTCCCGTGAAAGCAGAGTTGAGTAACGAGCAGTTGAGGACAGGGGCTCTCGGATTCGAAGCAGAGGGTAATGATTTCGGTAAGCACCGCGATGGGGACGCGTGCATTTTGACGGACGCCGCTACTGACAGAACCCGTTGACTGAGGCCTGGCGAGGTTCAGTGTGCAAACTGACCTATTTACTTCGGAGTTTGATACAATGACGAGCGGCGGATGATAGATTCGCGCGATTGTAGTAAAGAAAAACCCACACGCAGTGTCGAGAACTAATCAGAATGGACGTGACTTGAATTGAATCCCACAATAGCTCAAACCAGCTGGAACTTAAAATGGTAGCTAACTACAATACCACGTTAGTTGCTTCTGGCTTTAGGATTCCTTACTGCCGTATTCCGTCCCTACTCCGTCAGAGGTTCTTGGATTCCGTCAGAAGCTTGACAGGCTCTGGACAGATTCAGTGACGGTTTCTGAATCCTGATTCGCCAAGCGCTGCCAATGGCTGTGAGGATGAACCAATTCCAAGGTGCCTGGACTGGAGAACTCTTGATTCGATCAGTTGTAGTCAACCAATAAAAAAGGCCGCAGATGAGCTGGAGGCGCGTAAAAGTGCGACGTGGCTTGTTGTCAGTTTGGTGGTCCCCAAGGTTTGAGGGATCACAGTAACTACCACGATATCATATCATAATGGAGTGTATCTTCAAATACGTTTGCGTAACCACGATGTGCCCCGTAGCGAGTATATCTGAAGAGGCAAAAGTCCGTTTTCGTGAGTTTCAAAGCGGTCATTTGACGCTTGCGTGAGAGGGGCAATCAACGGATGAGCTTCCCGCCTGCTTCTAAACGGATCGCGTTTTAGACAAACGTCAAACCGCCAACCAATCATTGCGGACCGCTTAGCGACCCCAGTCACGTACACACCACCAGCACAGGTATGTCCCTTCACCTCCATCCGACCGTTCATTCGTTCTCCGCGTCCATAATCCAACCATCCAGAAAAATATCCGTTCATCGGTGATTGGTCAGGTCACCATTAGCTCTATTCCTTCCGTCCCGTCGCGGTTAGAAATTCCCAAAGCTCCACCTTCGTGCATCAGTTTTATCAAGCCCGCGTCGGCGCCATTTCCCATCATCCCAAGGTCCGCCTTCGGCTTTCCTGACCGCAATTCCCGGAGAACTCCTCCTTGAGTGTGGCAAACGGGCGCTGCCTCGTTCCCCTTGCTTCTTGGCGGCGAAGGTGCCTATGCTAATGCCAAGGCTTCCGTGAGATGCGGCAAACGTCAAAAGCCAAGGCGAAAGTCGAATTCGTTCACTACTACACTTGGCTGGGGTGTGTCGTGCAGAGCCGTCCTGAATCATCGCACTTTATATGACTGAAAGCTACTCGCTGGCTCGCGAAGCTTGCTCAAAACGACGTTGCATAAGCCAGCTACGCAAATATTTTCTTCCTTAGCACCTTTGGATACATACCATTTAGTTCCAAGCCAGTGGATTTTTTGTTCCTGCATCTTTGCCAAACCCTTCTCGCGAAGGCTCACCTGATCGTCTCACAGACCCTCTCTGATCGACATTTCGACCATGGTCAGATATAGACGATCGTAACTCTCAGCAGCTAGAAGACCTGGTAAATTTGATCCTGACAGGCAGCGCCGATACCGACTGATTCGCCGCAAACATACCTTTTTACATAAAACCCATTCCATTCACCGTTAACTCCTCAACATGGCGACGCGAATTCAGAGGCTTCCCCCAAAATGGTTACTTATCCTCTTTCTGGCTTCAGTATCAGCTTTCATACAGTCCACCATTGCCGTCGGCCTCTCAGCGCAAGGCCTCGCCAGAATCAAACAAGCCAAGAGGCCTTCGTTCGCGTTACAAGCATCCTCGAGTCCCGTAAGAAGAAGCCTCGCGACAAGCCCGACGACAGCGGCAGTGGAGCTGCTTGAGGAAGTGAGCGGCACGGCTACGGCGCTGACCGAACGGTTTTTTGCCGTTACGTACGGAGAAAAGGACGCCATCGCCTTTCGAGGGGTCTTGACGGAGGTACGGATTTGGTTTCACGGAGTCTGCGTATAGGCTTCACAGGCCTCACTCCCTCAGCCCGTGCCGCGGCCTTTAGAGCCGTTGTTGTTTGAAGGGAGTATGTTTCTTTCTTCTCGAGTGAGTTAATAACGTGGAAAGAGTTTGTTAAGCTCGAGCATGTCCGGTTCTATCATCCGTCTCTCCCTGCACTCACAGGCATCGCTCATCGTCAAGAACCTTGATTCCGCCACCAGCAATCTCGCCGACGCCGTGCGCGGCGGCCCGAACAATATCGACCGTACGGATCTCAAAGAAGCAATTGCAGCCGTTGGATTCGCTCAGTCGAGCGAGAACTACCTCGAGATTGCCTTGCAGGCGAAATTCCAAACCGTCAGTGGCAAGGCGATCGGGCAACTCCAGACGGCCGCTGCTGCCCTGGGCGACGATCTTAAAGCCCTGCGAGCCGTCCTCCTTGAACTCAAGAATCTTAACATCGAGCGCGCCTTTTCCGCTGCGCTCTCGACGGATCAGTATCAGCCAGCTGGCGAGGCTTTCGACCAGCACCAATCCCTGACCGAGGTGTTCCAATCCCAGCTCGCCAGTTCCAGTAACGCGGATAGAAAAGATAAGCCGACGCCGAAGGCGAAGGTAGACGTGAAGGGAAGGCCGGTGGGTCACCACCCTCCGGGCGTGGGCGGTAAGGGAGGGAAGAACGTTGGGCAATATGAGCCAGATAAGGGACACCACCCGAAGGGAAAGGGCGGCCATTCCGCGCCAGCCAATCAGACGACCGTTAAGAGCGGCAGTGCCCAGGGCAGTCAAGCAACCAATAAGAGCTCGCCTAGGAGCCCTGCCAATAGTCCCGCTAAGAGTCCTGCGAAGAGTCCCGCTAAGAGTCCTGTAAAGGCTCCTATTCGGGCGAATACCGGGTACAGAGCAGTCCGAACGGCGTCTACTAAGGCGGATAAGACGGTCGCTCAAGACGGTAGCGGCGACTATAAGAAGCTGCAGGATGCTGTAAATGCGGTGCCGGACAATTCCGTCATTTATATTAAGGCTGGAGTGTACAACGAGATGGTATCTATATACAAGAAGGGGATTACCCTTATCGGGGATGGCATTGACAAGACGATCATTACTGGGTCCGCCAGCGTATCGTCAGGATACGACATCATAACGTCAGCAACGATCGGTAAGCACTGATATGAAACGAGCAGCAACGCTTTGATGCTTTAATTCTTGTCACATCACCAATTTTTGCACTAGCATTCGTTTGAACTTTCAAGTCGGCATCCCCCCCTCACTTCAATCACTCATGTTGCCACATATTCACTGCTTGTGTCTTCTCGCATTATTTCCCGTCCCATCCTGTTTCGCAACCAGGCGTAAACGGTAACAACTTTGTCGCGAAGTACATGACCATTCGCAACACCGCTGGCCCTTCGGGGCAACAAGCCGTCGCCCTGCGCCTAGATTCCGATCAGGCTGCACTGTACCAAGTCAAGGTTACCGGCTACCAAGATACACTCTTCTGCTCCACCGGTCGTCACTATATCAAAAACTGCATTATCGAGGGCACTGTTGATTTCATTTTCGGCTACGGTGCCGTGGTGGTGCAATCGTCTACAGTCAACGCGCTTAAATCCCCAACTTACACAACAACGGTTCTGGCCTCTGGGTGCTACCAGTCCGGAGCGCTGTGTGGGATTGTGGTGATTGACAGTGATGTGAATGGTGACTATGGCGACATCTACTTGGGGCGGCCGTGGAAGGAGTATGCTACCATGGTGTTTATCAACACTGACCTGCCTGCGGTGAGTGGAACCATGATGTTGCTCTTCTGCGCTGTAGTTTGCCTTGGTGTTGCCGGTGTGCAAATGGCCATGTTTGTTTAATTTGTTTTACATTTGTGCTAATCCCAGATGCCACATTCAACTTTCCCGTTTGTTTTTTTCTTTTCTTTTCTGCATTGTTCAATTCTGGATTTGCAGAAACTGAACAAGAACGGGTGGATGCCTTGGAAAATCTCTGAGACTTTTGGTGGGAAGCCATTCTTGGCAGAGTTTGGCAGCAAGGGCGGTGGTGTCCAGTCATCAAGAGTATCGTGGGCGAGACCTGGCGTCGTATCTTCATCATCACAAGTCAGCAAATACTACCCTAATAATTTCCTCTCACTGAGCTCGTGGATAGGCAGTACAGGGATCCCGGTCTGACGTGCATCGTAATGCCACACCATGGTATCAACATGGTGCAATACTAGGACCAGGCTCTGTCCTGCAATAAGGAATTAGGTGGTTCAGGTCCACATTAGGCCTATTTCAGTTTGATTTTGGTGGCATGCGATGCTAAGAAAGGAACGTACAGTGTTTCTATGCTTCAGACATGTTAGCTGTTCTTTGCCTTCACAGTTGCCAGCTCTGAGCATCAGGCTCCTTAAAAGGTGAGAGGGAACAGTACTAATCAGAGTGGACCATTGCATGCTGTTACAATGGCAGAAAATCACACCAAGGGGGGCTGCGCCACATCACCCATCAATGGGGCCACAAGGAACGGCTCTCAGGGGTGCAACACGATGGAGAAGGGTTGTTGTCGGCTAGAGTTTTAAACTGAACCGGCACATTGTTTCGCGGTTCACCGCATCTGAGCTGCACTTTGTTGGTGTACGTACGTGTCGTCCAGTGAATGGGCGTCCTATCCTCAAGGAGCCACTCAGCGTGAGCCACACATGCACCAGTCAACTCCCCTCCCAAGCAAACTCAGAGCTTGGTGTGCGACGAACAGGCGTGCGTGTCGTGCAAAGTGCCTCGCCAGTCAATCGCAAGGATTCGCGAACGGCGGAAACCACAGAAGAGCACGATCAAGGAGATTCGCACAAGTGGTAACTGTCACATTTAGTCCAGCGCTGATCCTGAACTTGTTCACAAGGATTATCCACGCCTATGCCTAGTTCAGCTCGCCCTGAAAGAATTTCAACGAAGTAACCATGGACGGACGTGGAAAGGCGACGCAGAACGGATAGTTGGTCAATAAGTAGGTTAGTGCCAGGCTGTAATGGCAGGTGTTGAAGCGAGTAGGATTGAGGGACGAAGATGTCCCGTGATATGAGTGGTATAAGGGACGAAGGAGCCAAATTTACGTCCTTGGACGTCCTTCAGGCTGCAGAAATGGAGGGTCCGTTTGGAAGTGACAATTGAGTGACATGCTGGTTCTTTGAGTAGGACTGGTTATTCTTTTTTTAAGCTCTAGAATTATCCTGCAGAGTCCTGCTGAAGCTTTCACTCTCTATCATCGTGACAGTGGCACATTCGGAATCATCTCGCTGATATTTGTGGTCTGAAAGGATTTACATACTCGGACATTCAGGAACAAGTTTAGCAAGGTGAGAGCTTCGGTTGAGAGATGGGCACAGCGCAAAATGCATGTGCGTCGAGACGAATTTCGCTTCTAAAAAGGTGACGATCCTGTATTGCCTGTATTTTGAGACGTCTCAAAATACAACTTTTATCAAAGGTGACGATCCTGTATTGGCTTTATCACCGCTTTTCTGTACACCAAGGTACTTGAAGCAGTAAAATGATGACTGTGTGCAACTGCACACCACAGCCACACTCGTATTTTGTTTATTTGTTTTATGGTGGATTAAATTGACGGTTCGCATTACTTCTCATCCCTCTTCCAGATGACGAACCCGGCTGCTGCGATTGCTGGTGGTGGTGGGCAAAACTTGTTGGCTAGTGCTCACATGCTCGTCACATCGCTCTTTTTCTCAATGGCTACTGGTCCTGGCTGGACCTCAAACGGATGTGAGATCCATGATGCAGTGGGTCTGGGATCATGCAGTAGGTCTGGGATCATGCAGTAGGTCTGGGATCATGCAGTAGGTCTGGGATCATGCAGTAGGTCTGGGATCATGCAGTAGGTCTGGGATCATGCAGTAGGTCTGGCATCATGCAGTAGACCTGGGATCATGCAGAAGGCCTGGGACCATGCAGTACGTCTGGCATCATGCGGTGATTCTGGAATCATACATGCGCCATCCCTTGCAGAAGCCTGCTTGTCAACTTCCCGTTGTTATCCTTCCCAACCACGTCTTGACTTCGAGCCAAAAGCTCTTCAACTGTTGACCGGGGTCTCCCCCTTCAAATCCCCTCCCTCCCGTTTTTGCAGCCTTCTGGGCCAGCTTCTGTGGCCCAAATGACCCGTACACTCCAGCCTGCATCACCGGCAACCCTCTCTTCAGTCACAGCCAGCCTGAACGTTGTCTCCCCCTTTCAACTCCCCTCCCTGTTTTTTTGCAGCTTTCTGGGCCAACTTCTGTGGCCCGAATGACCCGTACACTCCAGCCTGCATCACCGGCAACCCTCTCTTCAGTCACAGACAGCCAACCAGCCAACTGCACAATGTCACACAGTCTCTTGTGGCATCATCAGCATCACCATCCGGCGTCACACCCTCTCAATATAACGCCTTGCAGAATCCCACGTGGCACCATCTCCTTATGCCACATCAGCAACAGCTCCACCCGTTTTCCTCGGATTCTCCCCCCTCGCTCCTCCACCCGTCCTCCCCCCTTCCCTGGAGCTCCCTTGAGCAGATATCAGCGTCGTTCCAATGGGCAGGCAAAGAAAGTTTTCTGCCCAAGTGGATCCACATCTTCTCCCTCTCTCCCTGCCTCCAACACGCTTCCTTCCTGTTCCTCTCCTCCTTCCTCCTCCTTGCCACCCTCTCCCACATACTCATCCTTCCCAAACCTAATCCCGAACCTAGTCCCAAGCCAGACTACCAGCCCCGTAGAGCACAGAATGGTGGGGAGAGACCAGCAGGTACGGTGGAGAGGGGTGAGAAGAGAGCGAAGGAACGGAGGCAAGGCAGGGAAGGTGGGAATGGGGAGAGAGGAGAGGAACGATGGGAAGGCAGGGAGCAGGAGACCGGAGAGGTGTGGCGTGCAGGCATGCTGTTCTGGCCGGAGCTCCTTTTCTCTCTCGCTGCTTCTATCTGCTGGGCGGGGCTGCTTATATGGGAGATGTTTTCCGCCTTGTCGGCAACAGGCCACGTCCTTGTATTGCCCCACGAGCTGGCATACGCAGCAGGGCAGGCAGTCACATATGCGCTGGCAGCAGTGGTCCTGCTGCTCTTCCAGAGAAGGCGTGATGTGACTGTTGTTGGGTCGGCGCGCGTGTGGCTGTTTCAGAACTCTGTGCTCATGCTGCTGCTGTCCATGGTGATTCTGCTCCGCCTCTGGAGCAAGAGACAAGGGACGGATTTGTGGGAGGGATTAGGTTTGGGTCCTGGTTTGGAATTTGGCTCGGGATCGGGTTCGGGATCTGGTTTGGGGGTTGGTGTGGGGTCTGGTTTGGGATTTGGATTTCGAGATTGGAAGGAGGAGAAGGTGACAGCATGGAGCGATTTCTTGACACTTGGCAGCTTGCCATTGGCTCTTTTCTTGGGGGTGGTTGGTGTGCTGGGAAGGCCTGGTTGGGCTCGTTTGGATCGAGGAATGGGGGAGAGGAGAGGAGGAGAGGAAGGAGAAGAGATGGTGGAGGAGGGGGAGCAGCAGGAGGTGGGTGAGACTAGTATTGAGGAGGGTTCGGAAAGTAGGGTGTTGAATGGGAGGGCTTTCTTTGCAATTGAGGATGAAAGCGGTTCTGAGGAGGAAATCGAGTCTGATACTAGTGAGGATGGCGAGTATGAGATGGAAGCGGGCAAGCAAGTGGGCAACAGGAACATGCAGGATTCTCCCTATGCCAGTGCAAATTGGCTGTCGCATCTTGCTTTCTCCTGGGTCTCTCCGCTTCTCGAAACAGGCAACCAGAATCTCCTGCTTCAGCAGCAGCAGCAGCAGTGGGATAGCCACAGCAGCGAGTTGGAACCGAGGGATCATCAGAAGCAGCATGTGATTTCACTAGAGGACGTGCCGTGCCTGCCAGCTTCTCAGGGCTGTGAGGCCCAGTTCCGTGCCTTTGATGCCTGCTGGCAGACGCAGCTTGCACTGACTGCGGGTACTGCTGCTGCTGGGGGTATCACTGCTGCTGGTGGTGCGGCTGCTAGCAGTGTTGCTGCTGGTGGTAATGCTGGTGCTGTTGCTGGTGATACTACTGCTGGTGATACTACTGCTGGTGATGGCACTGGTGGCGCTGATTCCACCCTCACGACTCCACTGCTCGAAGAGACCCAGCCGCAGCAGCAGCACGGGCACAAGCAACTGCAGCACCCGAACAACCAGCAGCAGCACCGCTCCTCCATTCTCCCCCGTTTCATCACCAGCACCACCAGCAGCATCAGCAGCAACAGAATGCCCTCAGTAGCCCGTGCGCTGCTAGCTTGCTTCTGGCGCCCCCTCCTCACCACAGGCCTACTGGTGCTGCTCAAGTGTGCAGTGATGTACGCGGGCCCGCTGCTGCTCTCGCACTTTGTGGGCGTCGCTGCGGGCAAGCAGTGGTTTCAAGGCGAGGGCGTGGCGCTGGTGGCAGTGCTGCTGCTGGCCAAGGCAACTGAGACGGCCGTGGGGCACCAGTTCAACTTCCAGACGCAGGTGAGGGGTTGGGTGCGGTTATGCTCTCTTTTGGATGGTTATACGGGGGCTCATGGTTGATTGTGCTGATGGCGGTGCTGCTGCTGGCCAAGGCGACTGAGACGGACGGCCGCAGGTGAGGGGCTGCTTTTGCAGCAGGGTGGGGTGATTTGAGTGTTTCTGACAGGCCTGCTCGTGCCAGGCCTGGAGCGTGGCTCTGGTCGCGGTGCTGCTGCTGGCTAAAGCGGCTGAGACGGCTGTCGGGCACCAGTACAACTTCCAGGCACAGGTGAGGGGTTGGGTGCGGTTGGGTTGCTTTGGGTTTCGTGATTGATTGTGAAGCAGCATGGTGTAGCCTCTTGCTGAGTAGAGAAGGATTCGAACCGCAGCAAGCAAGCCGTATCGTAGGGCAGGGTGTGGCGCTGGTGGCCGTGCTGCTGCTGGCCAAGGCGACTGAGACAGCCTTGGTTCAGCTTCCAGGCGTAGGTACTGCTTACGCAGTAAGGCGAGGTGATTCTAGTGGTGCGTGCGGATAGGCCTGCTCGCCACATGCCGTGTCTCCTCACTCTCCTCCCCACAGGCCCTGGGTCTGGACATTCGAGCAGCACTGGTGGGAGCGCTGTACCACAAGGGCTTGCGGCTGTCAAGCAGAGCGAAGCAGCGGCACACGGTGGGCGAGGTGGTGAATTACATGTCGACAGACGTGCAGCGCCTGGCGGACCTCATGCTGCAGCTGCACAACGTGTGGGTGCTACCCCTCCAGATCAGCATCGCGCTCCTTATCCTCTTCCATGTAAGAAACGGCTGTTATGCACGTCAGCCCAAAAGAAAGAAAGAAAGAAAGAAAGAAAGAAAGAAAAAAAAAAGAGGAACATGTCTAGGCAGATGAGCACACCTCCTCACCGCCTCTCTATCTGCGAGCGCCTCTCTGAGCCTCCTCACTCACTGCCACTCTGTGAGTGCGTGTACTAGTGGACCTGTGGTTCTCATCCTCACTGCCTCCTCTCAGGCGCTCCTCTCTCCTATCCTAACAACGCATACCAGCAGATTTTACTGCCAACAAAAGCCCCTCTCTCCTCCTCCTCCCCTCCTCCCTCTCCTCCCTTTCCCCCTTTCTCCCCCTTTCACCTCTCCCAGGTGGTGGGGGCGAGCATGGTGGCGGGGCTGGCAGTGATGGTGGCGGCGCTGCTGCTGAACCTCCTCATAGCGGCCTCGCTGTGCGCCACAGTGGCGAGAATCCTTGAAGCCAAGGACCGCCGCATGAAGGCCACGTCGGAGGCGCTCTCCTCTCCTCCCATCTCCCGTCTCCTCACCTTTCCCGTCCTCCCCTTTCCCGTCCTCCCCTTTCCCCTCCTCCCATTTCCCCACTTCCCCTACTCCTCTGCCCCCTTTCTCCTCTCCTACCCCTTACCCGCACCCCTCACAGGTGGTGGGGGCGAGCATGGTGGCGGGGCTGGCAGTGATGGTGGCGGCGCTGCTGCTGAACCTCCTCATAGCGGCCTCGCTGCGCGCCACAGTGGCGAGCATCCTTAAAGCCAAGGACCGCCGCATGAAGGCCACGTCGGAGGCGCTCTCCTCGATGCGGGTCATCAAGCTCTACGCCTGGCAGCCCTTCTTCGAAAATCAAATCAAATCTCTGCGCGCTGCCGAGGCCGGTTGGCTGGCAAGGTATGTGCTGCTGGGGGAAAGAGGAGAGAGGAGGGTTTTGGTCGCTTTTGAGAATTCGAAAAGGTGATTTCCAAAGAGGAGCAAGGAGGCGTTGGGTCGCTTCAGTGCTGTGCTGGTCGGTCGCATGAAGGCCACGTCGGAGGCGCTCTCCTCCATGTGGGTCATCAAGCTGTACGCCTGGCAGCCCTTCTTCGAGAACCAAATCAAATCTCTATGGGCTGCTGAGGCCGGCTGGTTCGCCAGGTACATGTGTTGGGGGAACAGGGGGAGTTGGGTGTGCCGCTCACCTCTGGGGCTGTTTTCACTCCCATCGCCACCTTCCCTAACAGGCTAACACCTCCCCTCCTCACCGCTCCCTTTCCTCCCCCCCTCATATCCCTCCCGGCTCCCTCTCTCCTCCCTCTCCACCCTCTCCCGCTCTCCCCATCTCCTCCCCATTTCCCCCATCCCCCGTTTGCCTCATCCCCCATTTCCCCCATCCCCCATCCCCCCACCCCCCCAGGTACATGGCGATAGGGGCGGCCAACATCTGTCTGCTGTGGCTGTCGCCTCTGGCCGTGTCTTTGGGGACCTTCGGCGCCATGGTGCTAGTGGGTGTGCCGCTCACCCCTCACTGCCCCCCCTCTCCCCTTGTCCGCCCTCTTCCCCCCAAACCCCCATCCCGACACTCGAATCCCCCACTCCCCAAGGTACATGGCGATAGGCGCGGCCAACATCTGCCTGCTGTGGCTCTCGCCTCTGGCCGTGTCGGTGGGGACCTTTGGCGCCATGGTGCTCGTGGGTGTGCCGCTCACTCCCGGGGCTGTTTTTACTGCCATCGCCACCTTCCGCATTCTGCAGGTGAGAAGGTGGGGAAGAGTGGGAGAGTGGGGATTGGGGGTTGGGGTGAGTGTGAAGGGGGACAAGGGGGTTCAGCATTTCTCATAGTCCGACCTGCCATGGTGCTAGTGGGTGTACCGCTCACCCCCGGAGCTGTCTGCACTGCCATCGCCACCTTCCGCATTCTTCAGGTGAGGGGGTGGTGCGCATTGGGGGGTCTTAGAGGGGGAAAGGGTGCTGAGTTGTCATTCTTTCCTTCCCCCCCAGACAGACTGGCACAGCTTTTGAGTCGACTCAAAAGTGGAGTGCGTTGGGGGGTTTTAGAGGGGAAAGGGTGTTGAGTTGTCAATCTTCCCTTCCCCCCCAGACAGACTGGCACAGCTTTTGAGTCGACTCAAAAGTGGAGTGCGTTGGGGGGTTTTAGAGGGGAAAGGGTGTTGAGTTGTCAATCTTCCCTTCCCCCCCAGACAGACTGGCACAGCTTTTGAGTCGACTCAAAAGTGGAGTGCGTTGGGGGGTTTTAGAGGGGAAAGGGTGTTGAGTTGTCAATCTTCCCTTCCCCCCCAGACAGACTGGCACAGCTTTTGAGTCGACTCAAAAGTGGAGTGCGTTGGGGGGTTTTAGAGGGGAAAGGGTGTTGAGTTGTCAATCTTCCCTTCCCCCCCAGACAGACTGGCACAGCTTTTGAGTCGACTCAAAAGTGGAGTGCGTTGGGGGGTTTTAGAGGGGAAAGGGTGTTGAGTTGTCAATCTTCCCTTCCCCCCCAGACAGACTGGCACAGCTTTTGAGTCGACTCAAAAGTGGAGTGCGTTGGGGGGTTTTAGAGGGGAAAGGGAGTTGAGTTGTCAATCTTCCCTTCCCCCCCAGACAGACTGGCACAGCTTTTGAGTCGACTCAAAAGTGGAGTGCGTTGGGGGGTTTTAGAGGGGAAAGGGTGTTGAGTTGTCAATCTTCCCTTCCCCCCCAGACAGACTGGCACAGTCTCTCCGTGTCGCAAAATAGTATTGGCAAGTGCCAAGTGGTTTGCCTAGATTTCATCGCATGGTTACCACCTACCGATAGTCTTCCACTCCCCCCCTCTCAGGCCCCAACAACAGGAGCCCCTGCGGTCCTTCCCCTCGGTGGTGGCGGCTGTAGCACAGGCCATGGGGTGTCCCTCAAGCGAGTCACTGCCTTCCTCCTGGAATAAGAGATCCAAGTATCCCTGTGACGCAAGGACTGAAGCACCTCAACACTCTCCGCTCTCACCTTCCACCTCCTCCTCCCTTCCCCTGTTCCTCTTACAGGAGCCTCTGCGGTCCTTCCCGTCGGTGGTGGTGGCTCTAGCACAGGCCATGGTTTTTTCTCAAGCGAGTCACCACATTCCTTCTAGAAGAAGAGATCCAAGTATCCCTGTGACGCAAGGACTGAAGCACCTCAACACTCTCCCGTGTCACCTTCCACCTCCTCCACCCTTCCCCTGTTCCTCGTACAGGAGCCTCTGCGCTCGTTCCCCTTGGTGGTGGCGGCTCTAGCCCAGGCCATTGTGTCCCTCAAGCGAGTCACCGGCTTCCTTCTGGAAGAAGAAATCCAGAGCGATGTTGTGACGCGTGTGCACTGAGGCACCTCAACAATCTCTTTCCACACCACCTTCCCCCCCGCCCCCCACCACCCCAACAGGAGCCGCTGCGGTCGTTCCCCTCGGTGGTGGCGGCTCTAGCACAGGCCATGGTGTCACTCAAGCGAGTCACCACTTTCCTTCTGGAAGAAGAGATTCAGAGCGACGCTGTGACGCACGTGAATGGGCCGAAGGAAGGGGTGGGGAGTGGGGGAGAAGGAAGGGAAGAGAGGAGGGATGGAGTGAAGGGTGTGGCAAAGGATGTGGTGGTGCAGGTTCAGAATGGTGTGTTTAGCTGGGAGGGGGATGCCAGTAAGCGGACGCTATCTGGAATCGAGTTGGAGATTAAAAAGGGGATGAGAGTGGCTGTGTGCGGGGCGGTCGGAGCAGGCAAGTCAAGCCTGCTGGCGTGCCTTCTAGGGGAGATGCCCAAGATAAGAGGAAAGGTGAGATGTGGCACCTTTTCCTGTGGGGAAGTGTGTTGCCTTCTTAAAAATCTTGAAAGCGGTGGGAGCAGACAAGTCGATACTGCTGGCGTGTCTGTGTCTTCTAGGGGAAATGCCCAGAATGAGCGGCAAGGTGAGAAAGTGACGCAATGCAAGGTACGGTAGTCACTCTGTGTTTCTGGCATTTCAGGTCACCCTGGTGGGCTGCACGGCCTACGTGCCACAGTCCGTATCGATTCAGAACGCCACCTTTCCCTCCCCAACCCTTTCCCCCACGTTGACCTCTCTTCTCCCCCAACCCCCCACATTCTGGCATTCCAGGTCCTCATAGCAGGCCGCATGGCCTACGTGCCACAATCCGCATGGATCCTGAACGCCACTCCTTTCTCACCCTCCCTCTTCCCCGCGTTGACCTTTCTCCCCCACCTCTCCCCCATTCTTCCATTTCCAGGTCACCCTGGCGGGCCGCACAGCCTATGTGCCGCAGTCCGCATGGATCCAAAACGCCACAGTGCGCGACAACATTCTTTTCGGGCAGCCCATGAACCGGGCGCGCTACAGCCGGGTGCTGCAGCAGTGCGCGCTACAGCCGGACCTGGCTCTGCTGGCCCATGGGGATGCCACGCAGATAGGCGAGAGGGGAGTGAACCTGAGCGGCGGGCAGAAGCAGAGGATACAACTGGCCCGGGCGATGTATGCAGGGGGAGGGGGAATGGGAGGAGGGGAAACGAGGGAAGGGGGGCCTGAGGGAGGCATGAGAGATGGAGAAGCAGGAGGGGAGCAGGGGGAGAGGGCGGATGGAACCGGGGTTGCGGAGGAGCAAGGAGGAGTGGGTGAGCAAGGGGGTGATGCGGAGGTGTTTCTATTGGATGATCCGTTCAGTGCCGTGGATGCTCACACTGGCTTGCAGCTCTTCACTGTGAGTGCAAATCCCCATCAACGGAGGGAATGGGGGATGGGGAGGAGAGGTAAGGAGGAGTGGACGGGCAAGGGGGTGATGCGGAGGTGTTTCTATTGGATGATCCTTTCAGTGCTGTGGATGCTCACACTGGTTCACAGCTATTCACTGTAAGTTTGCTGATTCACTCTGGGTCAGCACTGCCACAGTACTACTACATACCAATACCCCCTATCCACAGAAGCAACGATTTGCATCATTTTTCTTTGATTCTTACTTCCAGGTGTGTGTTCTGAGAGGCCTGTCTGGAAAAACTGTTTCGATATGCCTCAAAGAAAGGCAGTCTTCCAACTCCCCCACCTTCCTCCTCTCTCCCCTCTTCCCGCTCTGCTCCCCACTTGGCAGGAGTGTGTGTTGCGGGGTCTGGCGGGGAAGACTGTCATTCTGGTGACGCACCAGGTGGACTTCCTGCCGGCTATGGACCTCATTCTGGTAACCACCTCCCCTTTCTCAATTCCGTTGATTTGATTGAGCTGTTTAGAACATATTCTTCTCTTTTGGCTTACAAATAGCCTGGTGAAACACCAAGTGGACTTCCCGCCAGCCGGTCTTGTGACATAATTTCTCAGCGAGCTGCAAACTTAGTCACGTGACACACCAACTGGACTTCCCGCCAGCCATGGACCTCATTCTGGTACTGCCTCTTGCATGAACCCGTTTTCCTGGTTGACTCTGTTGACTCTGTTGGCTCATTTGATTGGTTAGAGTATGTTTCAGCCTGGTGACACACACCAGGTGACCTTCCTACCTGCCAGCCAACCATGCACCTCATTCTGGTGCTGCCCCTTGATTGAATCCGTTGACTCTGTTGACTTGTTTCAAGGATTTGATTCTGTTGAGGCTAGGGTAGATGCCACATGTTCTGATGCCACTGGCGGCTGCTTCTTTTTTCCCTCACCCAACCCCCCCCTCTCTCTCCACACACTGAGGTGATGAGGTGGGGGAGCATCGTACAGAGTGGGCGGTACGAGGAGCTGCTGGCACAGGGAACGGATCTCTCCTCTTTTGTGTCCCCGCATACTGATGCGTATTCCCCTCCTGCTCCCCCTCCCCACCATCCTCTCCTTCCCAACCCCCCACAAACCCCCCACAGGTGATGAAAGAGGGGAGATTCGTGGAGAGTGGGCGGTACGAGGAGCTGCTGGCACAGGGAACGGATCTCTCCTCTTTTGTGTCTCCACATACTGATGCGTATTCCCCTCCTGCTCCCCCTCCCCACCATCCTCTCCTTCCCAACCCCCCACAAACCCCCCACAGATGATGAAAGAGGGGAGATTCGTGGAGAGTGGGCGGTATGAGGAGCTGCTGGCACAGGGAACGGATCTCTCCTCCCTTGTGGACGCTCATAGAGATGCCATGCACTCCCTTGCCACCACCACCACCACAGCTGCTGCTGATGGTGCGGCTGTTGCTGCTGCTACCATATGTGCTGATGCCACTGCTCCTCCGCCTTTCCCCCCCTCTTCCCCACAGGTGATGAAAGAAGGGCGCATCGTGCAGAGTGGGCGGTATGAGGACCTGCTGGCGGAGGGAACGGATTTCTCCTCTCTTGTGGACGCTCACACCGATGCCATGCACTCCCTCTCCGCCACCACCACCACTGCCGCTGCTGCTGGTGCGGCTGCTGCCGCTGCTACTACATGTGTTGATGCCACTGGCGCGTGTGTCCTTCTCTTCGTCCGTTCCCCCCCACACGCACAGGTGATGAAAGAAGGGCGCATCGTGCAGAGTGGGCGGTATGAGGACCTGCTGGCGGAGGGAATGGATTTCTCCTCCCTTGTGGACGCTCACACCGATGCCATGCACTCCCTCTCCGCCACCACCACCACCGCTGCCCCCACCGCTGCTGCGAGTGCTAGTGGTGGTGGTCCGGCTGGTGCTGCAAGTGCTGCTAGTGCTGGCGGTGCTGATGATGGTGCTGCTGCTTTTGCTTCTGCGGATGCCCCCTCCTCCTCCTCCCCCTCTTCCTCTGCCCCTCCCACCCATCCCTCCTCCACTTCTGCTACATCTGATGTGAGACGAGCCTCACGAGGTGATCGAGGGAAAGGGAAGCAGGAAGAGGCAGCAGAAGTGAGGGTGGTCGAGAGGCAGAACGGGGATGTAGTCAAGCCAGAGAAGCACGGCAATGGTAATAGTCGCAGCAGCGGCAGCAATCGTAGCAGCAGCAGGCGCAGGAACAAGGAGAGTGGTTCGAAGGCGAGAGCAGGCCAGCTGATAAATGAAGAGGAGAGGTCGTCAGGGCGAGTGGCCTTTGCCGTGTACTGGGCATACCTCACCACAGCCCTTGGATGCTGGCCCATCCCTGCGCTCCTATTGGTCCAGATCCTCTGGCAGACGCTGCAGATCGGCTCTGATTGGTGGCTTGCCACCTATACATCCTCCTCCTCCTCTTCCTCTTCCTTTTCCTTCTCCTCTTCCTTCTCCGCCTCCTCCACCACCACTCCCTCCTCCCTATCCCCCTCTTCTTCCTCCCCCGTCGATCTGCTAGCTCCAGCCATCACCCCGGTGGGCTTCCTGCGGGTGTACGTGCTGTTGGCGCTGGGCAGTGTGCTCTTTGTGCTGCTGCGCACTGTGGCAGTCTCCTGGATGGGGTGGGAGACGGCTCAGGCCCTCTTTGCCCGCATGCTGCATGCTGTCTTCCGAGCGCCTATGAGCTTCTTTGACTCCACTCCTGCAGGGCGAGTGCTATCCCGGGTGAGTGGTGCAGTGCGGTGCTGTGAGGTGAGTCTAGGTGTGCTGTTGGCGCTGGGCAGCCTGCTCTGTGTGTTGCTGTGCGCTGTAGCTGTCTCCTGGATGGAGTGGGAGACGGCTCAGGCCCTCTTTGCCCACATGCTGCATGCCGTGTTCCGAGCTCCCATGAGCTTCTTTGACTCCACACCCGCGGGGAGAGTACTTTCCTGGGTGAGTGGTGCAGTGCGGTAAGTATGTGGGCGTTCTGCATTGAAGTCAAGGGGCTTGACCCTTAGCCCTCCTCCCTCCTCGCCCTTCCTCTCCGCTCCCTCACCTCACGTGCCTCCTCCTCCCTTCCCCCCTATTCCTCATTCCTCATCCCTGCATGGTTTTATAGGCGTCAACGGACCAGGCAACTGTGGATCTAGACCTCCCGTTTCCCTTCAGCACGGTTCTCTCTCTTTTATTCCAGCTGCTCGGTATCCTCTCTGTCAGTAACCTCTTGTGCTTGTCCCCTTCGTAACCCACCCTCCCTCATCCCCTGTTTTTCCTCCCTCCTCCTCCCCCATCCTCCCTCATCTCTTTTCACAGGCATCAACAGACCAGGCAACAGTGGATCTAGACCTCCCGTTCCGCTTTGGAACGGTTCTCTCTCTTCTCTTCCAGCTGCTCGGCATCCTCTCAGTCACCTCCTTCATCACTTGGCCTGTGCTCTTCGCCATCGTGCCCCTTGCCTACTTCTACTTCTCTTATCAGGTTAGCAACCGCTGTTTTCTCTCCACTTCCTCTCCCTGCACGGGTAACCACTCCTGTCTCTCATTCTACATCCTCTCAGTCACCTGGCTTGTGCTCTTTGCGATCGTGCCCCTTGCTTACTTCTACTTCTCTTATCAGGTAAGCAACCACTGTCCTCTGCTCATTCTCCGAAGTGGCAACCGCTTGCTGCTCTTGTTTGTGTGTGTCTCTCTCTCTCACTTCTCCCGCCTGCTCCGTACGACTCCGTCTTCCTGCCCTGACATTCAACCCAATCAATGCATGCCACGTGTCCCTTCCTGTCCCCCAGGAGTACTACCTCACAACGTCCAGGGAGCTCTCTCGCCTGGATGGAGTCACCAAGTCCCCCATCATCGAGCACTTCAGCGAGTGAGTTCCCAGATCAGCCTGCTTGTTTGGTAACGGCTTTGCGTCTTCGTGTGAGTCGAAGGCCTCGCCCAGAAAGCAGGACTCAGTTGTTCACCAGCTGACCAGGGAGCTCTCTCGCCTGGATGGAGTCACCAAGTCGCCCATCATCGAGCACTTCAGCAAGTGAGTGAGTGCATGCATGCATGAATGAATCAACAGCTCTGAACTCTCATATATGGAGTACCGTTCTTCAGTCAGTAGACTCACTCGCAGCACTACTATCTGACCTCGTCTCTCACCTGGATGGAGTCACCAAGTCGCTCATCATCGAGCATTTCAGCGAGTGAGTGCATGCAGAGAACACCTGCAGCCGAACATCAAACATGTTCCCTCACCTAACCAAATAGCTTTCTCACCAACACAGCTTCCCCTGTTTCCCCTCCCCTGGGCCCAATTTGTAGACCCAATTTGTGCTCATTCCCTAACTCAACAAACCATCATATCACGTCACCACACACACAGCCTCTGTTGCTCTGCTTGCCACCCTCCCGCTCTGCGTCCCCCTGTTTCCTCCCATCCCAATCACTCAGGTCGCTAGCCGGGGCAGCAGTGATCCGAGCGTTTGGCGAGGAGGCTCGATTTGCGTGCACGAGTGCAGCGCGGGTGGACAGCAACACGCGTGTGGCGTTCTGCAGCAGAGGCGCCGTGGAGTGGCTTGGGTTCCGCCTGGAACTGCTGGGCTCACTGCTGCTCTGCTTCTCTGCACTCATGCTCACATTGCTGCCTCCCTCAGTCGTCTCCCCTGGTAGGAGTGGCTTGGTATTGACTGTGTGGTAAACAATTTGCTGGTATCGCTGCTGCTCTGTTTCTCTGCACTCATGCTCACGCTGCTGCCTCCGTCTGTCGTCTCCCCTGGTAGGAGCGGTGTGAAATTGACTGTGTGGTAAACAATTTTCTGGGGTCGCTGCTGCTCTGCTTCTCTGTGCTCATGCTCATGTGCTGCTGCTGCCCTCTGTGGTTTCTCCATATAGAATGTCTTGACATAGGGTGTTAGTGTTGAGACGTCTCAAAACTAGAATGTCTTGACATAGGGTGTTAGTGTTGAGACGTCTCAAAACTAGAATGTCTTGACATAGGGTGTTAGTGTTGAGACGTCTCAAAACTAGAATGTCTTGACATAGGGTGTTAGTGTTGAGACGTCTCAAAACTAGAATGTCTTGACATAGGGTGTTAGTGTTGAGACGTCTCAAAACTAGAATGTCTTGACATAGGGTGTTAGTGTTGAGACGTCTCAAAACTAGAATGTCTTGACATAGGGTGTTAGTGTGCTAGAGGTGAATACCGGACTCTGCTGCTCCAAACTCCTGCCCTCTTCTGTGATCGCTGCTTCTCTGCTGCTCCAAACTCCTGCCCTCTTCTGTGATCGCTGCTTCTCTGCTGCTCCAAACTCCTGCCCTCTTCTGTGATCGCTGCTTCTCTGCTGCTCCAAACTCCTGCCCTCTTCTGTGATCGCTGCTTCTCTGCTGCTCCAAACTCCTGCCCTCTTCTGTGATCGCTGCTTCTCTGCTGCTCTGCTTTTCCGCAATTGTGCTCACCTCACTGCCCTTCTGCCCTCTCCTCTTCCGCCCTCCCCCCTTCTCCTCTTTCGCTCCTACCCCAGGCTTGGCGGGCATGTCACTATCCTACGGCCTTGCTCTCTCCCAAGCGCTCTTCTTCGTGGTGTGGGTGTGGTGCTCCCTGGAGAACCAGAAGGGGCTCTTGGCGAATGCTGTGCTGTGCTTTTCCTGCTGCCTCATCATCTCTTCCCCCCCTTTTCCACCGCCCCACCTCCCTCCCCCAGGCCTGGCAGGAATGTCCCTCTCCTACGGCCTTGCTCTCTCCCAAGCGCTCTTCTTCGTGGTGTGGGCGTGGTGTTCCCTGGAGAACCAGATGGTATCAGTGGAGCGAATCCTCCACTTCTCCCACCCCGCCGTGCCCTCTGAAGCCCCTCTTGTGCTCCCCCACCACCGGCCTCCCCCCAACTGGCCGCACCAGGGGAGGGTAGAGTTTGACAGCCTTCAGGTGAGTGCGGTTTGAGGGGTTTCAGTGTGGTGTGGGCGTGGTGTTCCCTGGAGAACCAGATGGTATCAGTGGAGCGAATCCTCCACTTCTCCCACCCCGCCGTGCCCTCTGAAGCCCCTCTTGTGCTCCCCCACCACCGGCCTCCCCCCAACTGGCCGCACCAGGGGAGGGTAGAGTTTGACAGCCTTCAGGTGAGTGCGGTTTGAGGGGTTTCAGTGTGGTGTGGGCGTGGTGTTCCCTGGAGAACCAGATGGTATCAGTGGAGCGAATCCTCCACTTCTCCCACCCCGCCGTGCCCTCTGAAGCCCCCCTCGTCCTCCCCCACCACCGGCCTCCCCCCAACTGGCCGCACCAGGGGAGGGTAGAGTTTGACAGCCTTCAGGTGAGTGCGGTTTGAGGGGTTTCAGTGTGGTGTGGGCGTGGTGTTCCCTGGAGAACCAGATGGTATCAGTGGAGCGAATCCTCCACTTCTCCCACCCCGCCATGCCCTCTGAAGCCCCCCTCGTCCTCCCCCACCACCTGCCTCCCGCGCACTGGCCTAACAAGGGAAAGGTGGAGTTTGAGGGCCTTCAGGTGGGTGTGATTTGAGGGCCTTCAGTGCTTGCTGTGGGGCTTTTTAGTGGGTGGGTTGAGGGTTGTTCGTTGCAGTGTGGTGTGGGCGTGGTGTTCCCTGGAGAACCAGATGGTATCAGTGGAGCGAATCCTGCAATTCTCCCACCCCGCCGTGCCCTCTAAAGCCCCTCTTGTGCTCCCCCACCACCGGCCTCCCCCCAACTGGCCGCACAAGGTCTGCGTGGAGTTGGACGGTCTGCAGGTGGGTGTGATTTTAGAGCCTTTAATGGGTGTTTTGAAATCACTTTTAAGAATTCTCGAAGGTGTTTTGGGGACCCTAGGTGTGTGGGCTGAGGGTCGGTTCAGTGTGGGTTGGCCGTGGTGTTCCCTCCTGGTGAACCAATGGTCTCAGTCAGCAAAGTCAACCTGGTCAACCACCCTCTTTCTTACAAACCTCTCTCCCCCACCCAACCTCTCCCCTCCCCAGGTCCAATTTGAGTCGTATTGTCAGCGGCATCGGCAGCAGCAAGTGAACAAAGTCAACCAGGTCGCCCGCTCTTTCTCGTTCCAATCACTCCCCCTCTCTCACCTATCTCCCTTCCCCAAGTGCAGTACCGACCAGATCTACCAATGGTGCTGAAGGGCGTGACTCTGACAATCCCAGGCGGGCACACGATCGGCATTTTGTGGGCCGCACTATTGGCAGCACAGCTGCAAGTCAACAAGGTCAACCAAGTCACCTTCCTGCTCTCGCTCCAACCTCTCCCATCCTAATCTCCCTCCCCCTCCCACGCAGGTCCAGTACCGGCCAGACCTGCCAATGGTGCTGAAGGGCGTGACTCTGACCATCCCAGGCGGGCACAAGGTGGGGATTGTGGGCCGCACCGGCAGCGGCAAGTCAACAAAGTCAACAATGTCAACCAAGACTTCTGCTCTCTCTCCATCTCTCTCCCAACTCTCCTCCTGCCAGGTCCAGTACCGGCCAGACCTGCGAATGGTCTTGAAGGGTGTAACTCTAACGATCCCAGGCGGGTACAAGGTGGGCATTGTGGGCCGCACCGGCAGCAGCAAGTCAACGCTGCTCGCTGCTCTGTCTCCTCTCTCCCCCACCTCCCTCCTCTCCCCTTCCTCTACCCCAGGTCCAGTACCGGCCAGACCTCCCCATGGTGCTGAAGGGCGTGACTCTGACCATCCCAGGAGGGAACAAGGTTGGCATAGTCGGCCGCACTGGCAGCGGCAAGTCAACACTCGTTGCTGCTCTCTTCCGATTGGTCGAGCCGGCGGGCGGCAGGGTGGTGATTGATGACGTGGACATCGGGAGCATCGGATTGGGCGACCTGAGGGGGCGGCTGGCGATCATTCCACAGGACCCGACGCTGTTCCAGGGGTCGATTAGAATGAACCTGGACCCTGCTGGGGAGTACAGCGATGCTCAGATATGGGAGGTGAGTCTCCCTGGGGAAGCGGAGGGGTGGGGAGGGGAGGGGGTGTACGGCTGGCGATCGTACCACAGGACCTGACACTGTTCCAGGGGTCTAATCGAATGAACCTGGACCCTGCAGGGGAATACAGCGATGCCCAGATATGGGAGGTGAGACACGTTGGGGAAGAGATGGGGGTGGGTGGGGTTGCGTGGGGAAGGGGGGGTGTGCGTTTGGCAATCATTCTGCAGGACCCAACACTGTTCCAGGGGTCTATCTGGATGAACCTGGACCCGGCAGAGGAATACAGTGACGCTCAGATATGGGAGGTGAGTCTGATGTGTGTGTGGGGAGGGGGGAAGGGGGTGTCGATCATACCGCAGTAGGACCCGACGCTTTTCCAAGGGTCTATCCGGATAAACCTGGACACTGTGGGGAAGGGTAAAGGGGGGAAAGGGTAAAGATATAGGTGAGAGAACAGATTTGGCGATCTGAAGGGGCGGCTGGCGATCATACCGCAGGACACGACACTGTTCCAGGGGTCTATTCGAATGAACCTCGACCCGGCAGTGGAATACAGTGACGCTCAGATATGGGAGGTGGGTCTTTAACAAAGAGGAGGGAGGGGGAGGGATGAGGTGGGGGAAGGGAGGGGTGGGGAAGGGAGAGGTGGGGAGGGGAGAGGTGGGGAGGGGAGAGGTGGGGAGGGGAGAGGTGGGGAGGGGAGAGGTGGGGAGGGGAGAGGTGGGGAGGGGAGAGAGAGTTGGGATTGGCGGTTGTACTGTGGAAGAACCCAGTGCAAAGATAATTATTCGCTAAGATCCATCAGAAGTCCATTCGTGAAGAATATGGTTCTGATTGTTTCAGAGGTCCATCAGAAGCAGTCTGGTCTGGAAACTGCAGGGGGATATGGCGATGCTCGAATATGGGAGGTGAGGTGAGTCTGTGAGAAATATGGGATACTGCCTGAGTTCGTGCTTCTCCCAATCCCTCATCCTTGTCTCTTGACCTTTCCTCTCCTAATCCATCATCTCTCTCTCCCCGCCCTCCCTACCGCCTGCCTTGCCCCTTCCTCTTCCTCCACTCTTCTGCTTCCTCCACTCCTCCCCCCTACAGGCCCTGGACAGGTGTCAGTTGGGGGACACTGTGAAGGGCATGGAGGCGAAGCTGGATGCACAGGGTGAGTGTGAATCAGGGTGGGATGAGAGTACTAGGCAAGGGGAAGGTTTCGAGGCACCTCAAATCTACTCCCCTCCCTCCAGGCACTGGATCGGTGTCAGTTGGGGGACACTGTGAAGGCATGGAGGCGAAGCTGGATGCACAGGGTGAGCATGAATCAGGATGGGAGTAGTTGGCAAGAGGACAGTCTGTGGCATCTCCATTTTTTTTTTACCTTTTTTCTGACGCTGCAAGAAGGGTAAGGGCAGGGAATGGTAGGGAGTGACACCAAAAAAAACAAACAAACACGCATTACGAGGCTGCACTTTCGGTTCACCTTCTCAACAACTTGTGAGTTTCCCTCCACTGTGTTGGTGTTGGTGTGCGTGCGGTATGAATTTGAGTCTCAAACCTACATCTGCACGTCACTCCCCCAATGTGTGCATGTAATTGTGCGTGTATTGGTGTGTGTGGATGCTTGTTTATATGAGTATTATTTTGCATGTGTGTGTTCTTGTGATGTGGTTTGGATCTTGCAGTGGTGGAGGGAGGGGAGAACTGGAGCGTGGGGCAGAGGCAGCTATTCTGCCTTGGCTCTAACTTATGCCAAAATTCTCCTTGGATGAATCATGTATTTCTTGCAGTGGTGGAGGGAGGGGAGAACTGGAGCGTGGCTGTGTGGGGCAGAGGCAGCTGTTCTGCCTTGGTCGGGCACCGCTGAAGAACTAACAAACTCGTGTGTGTGTGTTTGTGCGTGTGTGTGTGTGTGTTTTTGTGGTGTTGCCTCAAACTTTTCAGTGGTGGAGGGAGGGGAGAACTGGAGCGTGGGGCAGAGGCAGCTGTTCTGTCTTGGTCGAGCACTGCTGAAGAACTCGCGGATTCTTGTGCTGGATGAAGCGACGGCGTCCGTTGATTCCGCCACCGACGCGGCGATCCAACGGACGATAAAGGAGAGCTTTGGCGGGGCGACTATCATCAGCATCGCGCATCGGATCGCGACGGTCATTGACAGTGACTTGGTGGTGGTCATGGATGGGGGTGAGTGATGGATGGGGGTGAGTGATGAATGGGGGTGGGTGAGTGATGAATGGGGGTGAGTGATTGAAATATTGGTTTCTTCCCCCCCAAAAAAATAGAGGTGAATAATAAGGGCATCTATCTATACACAACAACCATGAACTGCATCAGCTAGTGCAAGGCTGACAGTAACATGGTGGGCGGGGAAGGGGAGCCGGTAATCCCTTGGTGGGGGTTTCCCTGGCCCAGTGCAACACACCACTTGAGCTCATTCAACACCCGCAAACCAACCATGCCTCATCATTCCCCCCCCTCCCCCACCTTGGCCTTGCCTTTGCCCTCACATTTTACAGGAACCGTGGCGGAGTGCAATTCACCCGCTGAGCTCATGCGTGACCCTGATTCCATGTTTTCTCGCCTTGTGGCGGAGTATGCGGTTAGATCATCTGGCCTTGCTGACATTGCGAAGAGCCTATCGCTCGAGAGCCTTGCGAATGCTGCTCTTTCGTGATGGTGTGTAGGTAGGCAATGTAGAAATTGCACAAACCCACATGTTTATATCTTTAACCCAAATCTCTCTAACTCTAGCTTCATCTGCCATATGCAGACGTGATATGATAAGTTAGGAAAGTGACCCAACAAGCTGGGTTTTCATCTTATTCATTGTAGACCATTCCATTCATACTAATCTGTAAGGGTATGGTAGTGATAGTAAAATTTACTGTGTACCCGTGGCCCACAATCTCAAGTTGTGCCAATTTCGGCATTTCTGAGGGAAGTCGGCGTGGAGTAAATCCCCCAACCCCACAATTTCAGAAATATAAAAGACGCGGTTAAGAGCGATGCTCTGCAATTTGAAACATTCTGTCGGCTTCACCTGTTTGAACCGCTATCCACCTGTCTGAAATTTGATCCACAAATGGAAGCCAGCCTTTTGAAGGACACCCTCTTCCAAATTCCACCTCCTTTCTTCAACCTTGGAATCCTACTTTGGATTCCTGATCCTGTGAGACACCCGCAGAAGCTCGCCGTTAGCTCTTCGGGTGTACGCTCCCGTCGCGTCGTTCATTCATTCCAGTTTTCCTCGCAGTATCGCGACAATGGATAAGGTGCGTCTGTCATGTAGGCTTACTGTGGCTTCAACTCCCTCGACGTTCTTCGAAACCAAGAGCCTCTGCGTTCAGAATATACTTTCAGGCGTTAATATTCCCGCATTGTCACCGTTTCCGCGTGGTAAAATCGATTATGAGCAACCTTATCCAGAATATCCGCAGTCCTATCGCTGAAAAGATGGCATTAAAGTCCACCCTGCTGGGAGAGCCTCATCTAAAACCCTGATTCTCGGGTTTGGCTGGCACCACAGGAGTTCCACTGTTTGCGCCGGACTTACAGGTCATGTTGGAGTGTTTTTTTATGATTCTCAAGCTTGATTCCAATTTCCAATCAAGTTTTGCCGAATAGCGGAATATCTCTAACGCAAGTACCACGCTCTTCAGCTCGAGCGAGCCATTGCAATGTCGATGTCAATGCCGAAATCTAGTTTCTTATCTTCTTCATCAGACTGTTTTCATCTACTTCTTGTCTTCGTCGTTCTAAGGCATCTCCTCGTTCTTGTGAATCTGTCATTCCATTTCGTGTTTCGGCCTTTTCCCGAAGCTACGAAGGATAATATAATGAAGTGAAATCTTTTTCTGCTCGTTCCGCGGTTCTTTTCGTCACACCCCTTGGCTCTCAACCAATCAGGATCAAGCCGCTGCTGCAGCAGAGACCGTCGACGCGACGGCTGCAGCTGCTGCTGACCTGTCAATCGCCGATAAGCCAGCAGCAGAGGCCACGGAGCAGAAGGATCAGAAAGAGAAGAAGGAGAAGAAGGAAAAACCCAAAAAGGAGAAGGTCCCTAAGGAGAAAAAACCCAACCAACAAGGCGGAGGAGGCGGAGGAGGGGGGAAGAAGGAGGTGAAGAAGGAAACGCTGCTGGGTCTGTCGGTTAAGAAATCCGAGGACTATGGGAAGTGGTACTCGGAGGTGGTGGTGCAGTCAGAGCTGATCGAGTACTATGACGTTTCCGGCTGCTACATCCTCCGACCGTGGTCCTACTCCATCTGGGAAACCATCAAGGTGAGACTGGCACAATCGAGGCGTTGACACAGTGAATGGTATTCCGCCGACCCTGGTCCTGCTCCATCTGGGAAACCATCAAGGTGAAACTGGCAAATTCGAGGCATTAACATATCTAATGGGATTTTTCCGATCCTGGTCCTACTGCAGCTGGGACACCATCTAGTTGCTATTGTTATCAGAAACTATTGTTCTCCTCTTATCCCCTATTGACATTCCCTCCTCTTCTCATAACTCGTCACTCCCCCTTGCCTCTCGACCCCTTTACCCGCTCCTCTTCCCTCCACCCCTCCCCTCCATGCCCCGTCTCCCTCCCACCTCTTCCTGCAGGATTTCTTTGACGCAGAGATCAAGCAGCTGGGGGTGCAGAACTCCTACTTCCCCATGTTCGTCTCTGAGAGGGCGCTAAACGCCGAGAAGGACCATGTGGAGGGCTTTGCTCCTGAGGTGAGGCAAGGTTGCTGTTATGAGTGTCTGTGAGGCAAGGTTGCTGTTATGAGTGTATGTGAGGCAAGGTTGCTGTTATGAGTGTATGTGAGGCAAGGTTGCTGTTATGAGTGTATGTGAGGCAAGGTTGCTGTTATGAGTGTATGTGAGGCAAGGTTGCTGTTATGAGTGTATGTGAGGCAAGGTTGCTGTTATGAGTGTATGTGAGGCAAGGTTGCTGTTATGAGTGTATGTGAGGCAAGGTTGCTGTTATGAGTGTATGTGAGGCAAGGTTGCTGTTATGAGTGTATGTGAGGCAAGGTTGCTGTTATGAGTGTATGTGAGGCAAGGTTGCTGTTATGAGTGTATGTGAGGCAAGGTTGCTGTTATGAGTGTATGTGAGGCAAGGTTGCTGTTATGAGTGTATGTGAGGCAAGGTTGCTGTTATGAGTGTATGTGAGGCAAGGTTGCTGTTATGAGTGTATGTGAGGCAAGGTTGCTGTTATGAGTGTATGTGAGGCAAGGTTGCTGTTATGAGTGTATGTGAGGCAAGGTTGCTGTTATGAGTGTATGTGAGGCAAGGTTGCTGTTATGAGTGTATGTGAGGCAAGGTTGCTGTTATGAGTGTATGTGAGGCAAGGTTGCTGTTATGAGTGTATGTGAGGCAAGGTTGCTGTTATGAGTGTATGTGAGGCAAGGTTGCTGTTATGAGTGTATGTGAGGCAAGGTTGCTGTTATGAGTGTATGTGAGGCAAGGTTGCTGTTATGAGTGTATGTGAGGCAAGGTTGCTGTTATGAGTGTATGTGAAAGTGCTCAAGTCTCTACTTCCCCATGTTCGTCTCTGAGAGGGCGCTAAACGCTGAGAATCACCACTTCGAGGGCTTCGCTCCTGAGGTGAGGACGTGTGATTTTTGTAACTGGTTGAGGCAAGTTGGTCTTGACTGTAGCGAGTGGGAATGCGGAAGTGTCCCTGTTTCTCCAAGGGGGCGCACAACGCCAAGAAGGACCACATGGAGGGCTCTGTTTCCAAGTTAAGCAAGGGCGAATCTAAATGCCGATTGTTCCCCCCTCCCCTCCGCACTTCCCATGCCCCTCCCTCCTCCTCCCTCCCTCCTCATCTCCATTCCCTCCCGTTGTTCCCCTCCCCACTCCCCGTTCCTCGTTCCTTCTTCCTCCCCGCCCATACCATCCCCATCCCATTTTATCCCCATTCCCAACCCCCTCATTCCCATCCCCTCCCATTGTTCCCCTTCCCCACCTTCTCCCCCAGGTCGCGTGGGTGACCAAGTCAGGTCAGTCTGAGCTAGATGTGCCCATCGCCATCCGCCCCACCAGTGAGACAGTCATGTACCCCATCTACGCCAAGTGGATCCACTCCAATACCCTTCCCACTTCTCATACCCCCCTCCGACCCCTCCCCACTCCTTGTACTCCCCTCGCATCCCTCCTCTTCCCTCCCCATCCCTCTCCACCGCATCCCATCCTTGTAGGTCGTATGGGTGACCAAGTCAGAGTTAGACGTGCCCATCGCCATCCGCCCCACCAGCGAGACGGTGATGTACCCCATCTACGCCAAGTGGATCCACTCGCACCTCATCCCACCACATCCCACCACACCCCATCCCCCAGGTTGCGTGGGTGACCAAATCAGGCCAGTCTGAGCTAGACGTGCCCATCGCCATCCGCCCCACGAGTGAGACGGTGATGTACCCCATCTACGCCAAGTGGATCCACTCGCACCGCGACCTGCCCTTGAAGCTCAACCAGTGGAACAGCGTCGTGCGCTGGGAGTTCAAGCACCCCACGCCCTTCATCCGGTGGGTGGGTGGAATGGTGTGTGTGTGTGCGTGTGCATAGAGATAGAGAAAGGAGTAGGAGGGAGTTGAAGCACCCCACGCCCTTTATCCGGTGAGTGCTTGGGATATGTGTGTGTGCGTGTGCGTAGAGATAGAGAAAGGAGTAGGAGGGAGTTCAAGCACCCCACGCCCTTCATCCGGTGTGTGGGTGGGAGTGAGTGGGTAGTGGCAGGAGTAGATATTAATTTCAACCCCTTACATCAAGCGTCGCGCCTTTCATCCTCTGGAACTTCAAGCTCCCGATGCTCTTCCAAATTCCAATTGCCCCATTTCCCTCAATCACACCCCTCCCCCCCTGGAGTCGCGAGTTCCTGTGGCAGGAAGGTCATACTGCCTTTGCCAGCAAGGAGGAGGCGGACGTGGAGGTGCTGGCCATCCTGGAGCTGTACCGCCGCATCTATGAGGAGCTGCTTGCCTCGCTTCTCCCCTCCCTGCTCTCCCTTTACCTGCATCCCCCCTCCCTCTGCTTCCTCCCACACACTTCCTCGCTCCCTTTCTCCCGCACACTCACTTCCTTCCCTCCCGCTCTTCCCCTCTCACCCCCACCCCTCCCAGGAGTCGCGAGTTCCTGTGGCAGGAAGGCCATACGGCCTTTGCCAGCAAGGAGGAGGCGGACGTTGAAGTGCTGGCCATCCTGGAGCTGTACCACCGCATCTATGAGGAGCTGCTTGCTGCTCCCCTCTCTGCTCTCCCCTTTGCCCCATCCTCCCTCCCTCTGCTTCCTCCCACCCACACACCTCCTCTCTCGGCCTTTCCCCCACACACTCATTCCCTTTCTCTCCTCTCTCCCCTTCTCCCCCACCTCATCCCCCCCCAGGAGTCGCGAGTTCCTGTGGCAGGAGGGCCACACGACCTTCGCCAGCAAGGAGGAGGCGGATGTTGAGGTGCTCGCCATCCTGGAGCTGTACCGCCACATCTATGAGGAGCTGCTGGCCGCTCCTCTCCCTGCTCGCCCCTGAGCCACATCCGCCCTCCCACACACCTCCACTCCCTCCTGCCTGCACGCTCTCTTCCCTCTCTTTTCCCTGCTGCCGCCCCAACACCTCACCCCCCCTCCCCCAAATCAGGAGTCGCGAGTTCCTGTGGCAGGAGGGCCACACGGCGTTCGCCAGCAAGGAGGAGGCGGACGTGGAAGTGCTGGCCATCCTGGAGCTGTACCGCCGCATCTATCAGGAGCTGCTGGCTGGGCTCGCTGCTCCCTTCACTGCCCACTCGCCCCTAAGCCGCATCCTCCCTCCTTCTGCTTCCTCCCACCCACACACCTCCTCCCCTGCCCTTTCCCCCACGCACTCACCCCCTTTCTCTCTCCTCCCGCTCCTCTCCTCCCCGTTTCCCTCAACCAGGAGTCGTGAATTCCTGTGGCAGGAGGGGCACACGGCCTTCGCCAGCAAGGAGGAGGCGGACGTTGAAGTGCTGGCCATCCTGGAGCTGTACCGCCGCATCTATGAGGAGCTTCTCGCAGTGCCGGTGGTGAAGGGCGTCAAGAGCGAGCGGGAGAAGTTCGCTGGGGGTCTCTACACCACCACTGTCGAGGTATGCGCTCTGGTTTGGAAGCCGGTGGATTGGGGTGACTTCTTGTCCTGGGCTGTTGGGCTGTAGTGGTGCCTGTAATGGTGCTTGTGAGAGGAACAAGGAAATGCAATGGGAGGTGGTGGTAGGGGTGTTTGGGTGTGGCTACCCATTGGCCATCCTGGAGCTGTACCGCCGCATCTATGAGGAGCTGCTGGCGGTGCCGGTGGTGAAGGGCGTCAAGAGCGAGCGGGAGAAGTTCGCTGGCGGGCTGTACACCACCACTGTGGAGGTATGCGCTCTGGTTGGGTTTGGAGGCCGGTGGTTTGGGGCGACTACCTGCCTGGACAGGGCTTCTGAGCCGACCCAAAAGGGTGAGGATATCCCATGGGAGGGAGGCGGGTAGAGGTTATGGGGTGGGTACCGGCTGTGGCTACCGGGTGTGGCTACCGGGTGTGGCTACCGGGTGTGGCTACCGGCTGTGGCTACCGGGTGTGGCTACCGGGTGTGGCTACCGGCTGTGGCTACCGGCTGTGGCTTGTTTCTCGCCATCCTGGAGCTCTAAGACGACTTTTGAGGCGCCTCAAAAGTCGTCTCAGTTGAGGCGGGTAGAGGTTATGGGGTGGGTACCGGCTGTGCCTTGTTTCTCGCCATCCTGGAGCTCTGCCACCGCATTTATGAGAAGCTGCTGCTGGTGCCGGTGGTCAAGGGAGTCGAGCGAGCGAGAGAAGTTTGCCAGCGGGCTCTACACCACCACCGTCGAGGTATGTCCTGGATGCGGGTGTTCTGCGGTTGCAATGGTGTGATAGTTGTGGTCTGCTGCAGGCTGTTTGTCCCAGCAACGAGCAGGGGGGTGCATTTGGCCACGTCACACTGTGTAACTACTCTTCCTTCTTCCATTGTCATTTCTCACTGCGCGGCTGTATCCCCTGTGCTTCTGTTTCCCCTCTCTCTCCTTGTCTTTCGCCCCAGTGTTCTATTTCCCCCTGTGTGCCTATGTGCCTGTGCCATTTGCCTTAGGCATTCATCCCAGCGAGGGGCATCCAGTTGGCCACATCGCACTGCCTGGGGCAGAAAGAATCATTCACCCCTCTCTCCTCGCCATCCCCACCTGTTCTTCTCTCCCCACTGTACGACCATGTCACCTTCAACTACTGCCAGGCGTTCATCCCAGCGACGGGCAGGGGCATCCAGTCAGCGACGTCGCACTGCCTGGGGCAGAACTTGTATCCCTTTCCCCTTGACATTCCCCCATGGGCTTCTGTTGCCCCCTGTATTCCCATCATCCACGCCAGGCGTTCATCCCAGCAACAGGCAGGGGCATCCAGTCGGCGACATCCCACTGCCTGGGCCAGAACTTTGCCAAGATGTTCAACATCGAGTTTGAGGACGACAAGGGCGCCAAGCAGATGGTCTGGCAGAACAGCTGGGGGCTCTCCACGCGCTCTGTGAGTCTCCAACCCCCACCTGCTTGACTTAGCTGCGCGTACTTGCTGTTTGAACACGGGTGGGGCTGTGAGGGTGAAGTGCCAAGCAAGTGGTCTGGCAGAACAGCTGGGGGCTCTCCACTCGCTCCGTGAGTCTCCAACCCCCACCTGCTTGACTTGTCTGTGTGTACCTGCTGTGTGTACCTGCTGTGTGTACCTGCTGTGTGTACCTGCTGTGTGTACCTGCTGTGTGTACCTGCTGTGTGTACCTGCTGTGTGTACCTGCTGTGTGTACCTGCTGTGTGTACCTGCTGTGTGTACCTGCTGTGTGTACCTGCTGTGTGTACCTGCTGTGTGTACCTGCTGTGTGTACCTGCTGTGTGTACCTGCTGTGTGTACCTGCTGTGTGTACCTGCTGTGTGTACCTGCTGTGTGTACCTGCTGTGTGTACCTGCTGTGTGTACCTGCTGTGTGTACCTGCTGTGTGTACCTGCTGTGTGTACCTGCTGTGTGTACCTGCTGTGTGTACCTGCTGTGTGTACCTGCTGTGTGTACCTGCTGTGTGTACCTGCTGTGTGTACCTGCTGTGTGTACCTGCTGTGTGTACCTGCTGTGTGTACCTGCTGTGTGTACCTGCTGTGTGTACCTGCTGTGTGTACCTGCTGTGTGTACCTGCTGTGTGTACCTGCTGTGTGTACCTGCTGTGTGTACCTGCTGTGTGTACCTGCTGTGTGTACCTGCTGTGTGTACCTGCTGTGTGTACCTGCTGTGTGTACCTGCTGTGTGTACCTGCTGTGTGTACCTGCTGTGTGTACCTGCTGTGTGCCGACGGCTCCCGGCTCCTCTTTAGAGTATTAGTCAAGCCACTATTTCCCCTCGAATCTTCCCTACTCTCCTGTGTCCCTTCATGACTGTAACCATCCCTGCCATGCAGATCGGCATGATGGTGATGGTGATGGTGATGGTGATGGTGATGGTAATGGTGATGGTGATGGTGATGGTGATGGTGATGGTGCATTCGGACGACAAGGGCCTCGTGCTGCCGCCCAACGTTGCGGCCATCCCAGTGACCCATCACTCCACTCCAACCAACCCTGTCCTCTCCTCCCTCTCCCCCAGCCCCCCCCCATCTCCACCACTAAACCTGCAGATCGGCGTGATGGTGATGGTGCATTCAGACGACAAGGGCCTCGTGCTGCCACCCAACGTGGCGCCCACTCTGGTACCCCGCATCTCGTCCCCCTAACCTTCCCCCACCCTCCCCGTTGCCCAAATCTGCCTTTCCTTTTGTGTATACCCACAACAGATCGGGGTGATGGTGATGGTGCATTCAGACGACAAGGGCCTCGTGCTGCCACCCAATGTGGCGCCCACTCTGGTACCCCGCATCTCGTCCCCCTCACCTTCCCCCACCCTCCCCGTTGCCCAAATCTGCCTTTCCTTTTGTGTATACCCACAACAGATCGGCGTGATGGTGATGGTGCATTCAGACGACAAGGGCCTTGTGTGCTGCCACCCAATGTGGCGCCCACTCTGGTACCCCGCATCTCGTCCCCCTCACCTTCCCCCACCCTCCCCGTTGCCCAAATCTGCCTTTCCTTTTGTGTATACCCACAACAGATCGGCGTGATGGTGATGGTGCATTCAGACGACAAGGGCCTCGTGCTGCCGCCCAACGTGGCGCCCATCCAGGCCATCGTCGTCCCCATCCCCTTCAAGGACGCCGACCGGGCGGCGGTTGTGGCGGCAGCAGCCGACGTGGGCGCCCAGTTGCGGGCGGCGGGGGTGCGGGTGAAGGAGGACGCGAGAGACAACTACTCCCCAGGCTTTAAGTACAACTTCTGGGAGCTCAGGGGTGTGCCCATCCGCGTGGAGTTGGGTCCCAGGGACCTGACCAACAAGCAGGTGGGTGCAGTGCAAGGTGCCGGCAGTAGCTGTTGGTGCTGGCGTGTGGGTGTCCTTTGATTCGACTCGGAAAGCCTCTGGAAGCCAAAGGGCCATCCCATCCGCGTGGAGCTGGGTCCCAGGGATCTTGCCAACAAGCAGGTGGGTGTGTGGGTGTGTGGGTGTGTGGGTGTGTGGGTGTGTGGGTGTGTGCGTGTGTGCGTGTGTGCTGGCAGCAGGGTGTGATGTTGGTGATGCTCCAGTGGTTATCAGAGCAACTTCTGGGAGCTCAGGGGTGTGCCGATCCGCGTGGAGCTGGGTCCCAGGGATCTTGCCAACAAGCAGGTGGGTGTTTGAGGTGTCACGGTTCTCTCATGGGTATCAGTGTGAAGGTGAGGGTGCCCCTGCGAGTGAGGGAGGACACGAGGGACAACTACTCCCCAGGCTTTAAGTACAACTTCTGGGAGCTCAGGGGTGTGCCCATCCGAGTGGAGCTTGGCCCCAGGGACCTGGCCAACAAGCAGGTGCGTGTTTGAGGTGTCACGGTTCTTTCATGGGTATCAGTGTGAAGGTGAGGGTGCCCCTGCAAGTGAAGGAGGACGCGCGGGACAACTACTCGCCGGGCTTTAAGTACAACTTCTGGGAGCTCAGGGGCATGCCGATCCGCGTGGAGCTGGGTCCCAGGGATCTTGCCAACAAGCAGGTGGGTGTGTGCGTGTGTGCTGGCAGCAGGGTGTGATGTTGGTGGGGCTCCAGTGGTTATCAGAGCAACTTCTGGGAGCTCAGGGGTGTGCCGATCCGCGTGGAGCTGGGTCCCAGGGACCTCGCCAACAAGCAGGTGGGCATCAGCGGCTGATGCTGGTGTGTGGTGTGCTAGCAGCAGGTGGTGATGTTGATGGGTGGGTTGCGGGCAGCGGGGCTGTTGAGTTGACTCACGGTGGGGAGGGGAGGGGACGGGAGGGGAGGGGAGGGGAGGGGAGGGGAGGGGAGGGGAGGGGAGGGCATGGGAGCAGGTGGGAGAGCGGGTGAAGGCCCTTCTCGTGACCATCCACACGGACATGCTGGCGTGCGCCACCAGTGGGACGAGTTCATGCCTCCCTGCCTCCCTCCCTCCCTCCCTGCCTGCCTGCCTGCCTGCCTGCCTGCCTGCCTGCCTCCCTCTCGCCCTCCCCTCCCCTCTCTCCCCTCCAGGTGGTGTTGGTGCGGCGGGACACGGGCGCCAAGGAGTCAGCGCCCTGGGAGGGGCTGGGGGAGCGAGTTAAAGCCCTTCTCGCGACCATCCACGCGGACATGCTGGCGCGCGCCACCAAGGAGCGCGATGAGAGCATCATCAAGATCACCCAGTGGGAAGAGTTTATGCCGGCCATCGATACCAAGAAGATGGTGCTGGTGCTGGCGATGGCTCAAGAAGCAAGCCACATGCCCCTCCCTCCGTCCCTCCCTCTCCCCTTCAGGTGGTGTTGGTGCGGAGGGACACGGGAGCCAAGGAGTCAGCGCCCTGGGAGGGGCTGGGCGAGCGGGTGAAGGCCCTCCTCGCCACGATCCACGCAGACATGCTGGCGCGCGCCACCAAGGAGCGCGATGAGAGCATCATCAAGATCACCCAGTGGGAAGAGTTTATGCCGGCCATCGATACCAAGAAGATGGTGCTGGTGCTGGCGATGGCTCAAGAAGCAAGCCACATGCCCCTCCCTCCATCCCTCCCTCTCCCCTTCAGGTGGTGTTGGTGCGGAGGGACACGGGAGCCAAGGAGTCAGCGCCCTGGGAGGGGCTGGGCGAGCGGGTGAAGGCCCTCCTCGCCACGATCCACGCAGACATGCTGGCGCGCGCCACCAAGGAGCGCGATGAGAGCATCGTCAAGATCACCCAGTGGGAAGAGTTTATGCCGGCCATCGATACCAAGAAGATGGTGCTGGTGCTGGCGATGGCTCAAGAAGCAAGCCACATGCCCCTCCCTCCATCCCTCCCTCTCCCCTTCAGGTGGTGTTGGTGCGGAGGGACACGGGAGCCAAGGAGTCAGCGCCCTGGGAGGGGCTGGGCGAGCGGGTGAAGGCCCTCCTCGCCACGATCCACGCAGACATGCTTGCTCGCGCCACCAAGGAGCGCGATGAGAGCATCGTGAAGATCACCCAGTGGGAAGAATTCATGCCGGCCATCGATGCCAGGAAGATGGTGTTGGCGCCGTGGTGCGATGAGGAGGCGGTGGAGGAGGATGTGCGGAAGAGGAGCGCAGGCGCTGGGGAGGGCGGATCCGCCAAGACGTTCTGCATGCCGTTTGAGCAGCCCGAGCTGCCTGAAGGTGAGGCTCTGCAGCATGTAGCAGGGTTGAGCTGGGGGTGATTGGGTCACACTTGGGTGTAGTGTTGTGCTTGGAGTGTCCAGAGTCAAGAGTCAATATCACAAAGTGGGAAGAATTGATGCCGACCATCGACGCCACGAAGATGGTGTTGGCGCTGTGGATCGATGAGGAGGCGGTGGAGGAGGATGTGCGGAAGAGGAGCGCAGGTGCTGGGGAAGGCGGGTCGGCGAAGACTTTGTGCATGCCGTTCGAGCAGCCCGAGCTGCCTGAAGGTGTGTTCGTGCGAGCCCATGTGTGTGGAGGGGAGGGAGAGATGGGGTTGAGGGGCTGGCATGGAATGGCTTGGCGAGTGCTGCTGGGGAGGGCAGGTCGGCCAAGACGCTCTGCATGCCGTTCGAGCAGCCCGAGCTGCCAGAGGGTTTGTGTGGGGGGGAATGGGGCCAACACCCAGGAAGGTTCGTTGTGTCATGGCTTGGCATGTCATGGCATGCCATGGGCAGCATTTGAGCAGCTATTGAGGTTTGGAGGGCGGATCAGCGAAGATGCTCTGCATGCCGTTCGAGCGACCTGAGCTGCCTGAAGGTGCATGTGTGGGTGGATGTGTGAGTGGGTGTGTGGGCAGACAAGTGTTGTACGGCACCCAGGTAAGTATGGCATGGCATAGAGTCAGAGCCTCGGCACTTACAGCACACCTTGCCCTCCTCTAGCATCCCTCCCCAGTCTCCATCTCTCCTCTCTCCTCTCCTCCCCACTACCCCTCTCTCCTCTCTCCTCTCCTCTCCTCTCCGCTCTCCCTCTCCCCTCCTCCAGGCGCAATCTGCTTTGCATCGGGCAAGCCAGCCAAGAAGTGGGCTCTGTGGGGCCGCAGCTACTAAATCAGGAATATTTGCCCAAAATGGAATTTCCCCACAGCAGTCTCTGCCTCAGGATTACTCTGCGAGGCTCAAGCTACTGAATGGTACTGACCATATTTCCTTCACCACCCTTGAGAGATCAGCCATGCATTGGCTGAAGATTCAGTTGTGTAGGTAGTGCTTTCTTTTTCCCAGGAAAGGATGTTATAGCAACTCGGTGTCGGGTTTACGAAGCTGCTGCATTGCAGTGCCAAATCTTCTCACCTTTTTTACACAAATCCTAGTGAGTGCAGTCATACAATCCCTTTTTACACAAATCCTATACAATTCAGGCATTAAGGTGGGGTCCTATTGAGTGCTCGCTGCATTAGATGTACAACGTCAACAACTACTACACTGCATGGACATATCAGATTGGATATTGGCCCCAGCACAAAGAATGCATAAGAGGCAGCTGCTGCTGAGGCATGTAAGTGCACAGCACTTCTGGTTATTTACGCGAGACATTTAGTAACAGATAACAGTTGGATCCCGGGACCACCACCAACTGAAGTGAGTCCATGGAAGCTGTTCAAGGTGGAAACTGCCATTCAGCTGAATAAGTAGACTGCTTCGAACCTGAACAGCCAGTGGGTGGGAGAGGCAATGGGACAGGCGGGGAGGGGTTTGGATGGGGCGAGAGGGAGTGGCCAAGGAAAAGGAGCGCATCCCACAGACGATTGCTTTCAGCAGGAGAGGAAGGAAGGAGGTGAGCCAGAAGGAGGAGGAAGGGATGCGGCACACCAACCTCCAACTTCCAGACTTACTCGGCCAGAATTCCTCAGTCATGAGCAGAGCACTTACTCAGGCTCGACTCGACCCTGACGCTCCTCCCGCACCTCCGGTGGTGGAAAGAGGAATGTCTCTCTGCTCCCGTTGCAGACACAGCCATTCCCCGAGGAGAGTCATGAGCAGGCAGGAGAGGAAGGAGGTGAGCCAGAAGGAGAAGGAGGAGGGGACGTGGGCGTAGAGCAGGCAGAGCAGCGCGTGCAGCAGATGCACCGTGGCTGCAAAGTCGAGGCACTTCTTGGTTCGCTCCACCACCACCACCAAGTAAAAGGCGCTGGTGGATGGGAAGCGGCGTGGGAAAGAGTGGGGAATTGGAGGGAATGTGGTTAGGGGCAGAACCTGAGGTACTGCCTGGTTCGCTCCACCACCACCACCACATAGAAGGCGCTGGTAGGAGGGGGAGGAGGGGATGACATAGGGGGTATGGATAGGGGATGTGGAGAGGGGGACGGGAGACCGAGCACAATGAGAATCGAGCAGGCAGAGCAGCACGTGCAGCAGATGTACCATGGCGGCGAAATCGAGGTACTTCTTGGTTCGCTCCACCACCACCACCAGATAGAAGGCGCTGGTGGGTGGGAAAGGGGGGAGAAAGAGGGGGGGGGAGGGGGGGAGGGGGGGGGAGGAGGGGGGGTTAGGGGAGAGGATATGGGGAGGGGGGGCGGAAGTCGAGGCACTTGGTTCGCTCCACCGCCACCACCAGGTAGAAGGCGCTGGTGGGTGGGAAGAGGGGCGGAAGGATGGGGAATGGGGAAAGGATGTAGGGGGAGAAAGAGGCGAGGCATCACATGCAGTTCACAAGGCCCACGTGCGCAGTGCTTCCATCCACTTTCCCATTCCCACCTCTCCTAACCCTTCTCAACCCCTCCCCCCTTCCTATCCTCCCACCTCTTCCTCTGCAAGTAGCCTACCCTCCCCTCTTTCCCCCACCACTCCTCCCCCTCCGCCACCTGCCCCGTAACTCACCCCCCTCTCCGCGCACTCCTCCCACGAGCACTCACCCTACAAACGCGTTCGCCAGAAACGCGAATATGCAGCACCAGCCGACGAAGCTGGACGGCGAAAGCACGGAGTAGTCGAAGAAATACTTGAGCGTGAATCGCGGAACGTGCGACCCGACGAAGAGCCACAGGAAAACGCCGAGAGAGAGGTAAAATAACGACTGTAGACACGCGATTTGTGCTACTATGAGCCACGGGTCCCACACCATCGCTCCGTAAAACATGGCGACGACGCGGCGAGAAACGGCCTCCTGAAGCAGCTGCAGCGGCCGGAGCCCGCGCCGCTTCGCCTTGCCGTCCGTGGTGGCTTCGGTGGTAACACCTTGGCGGGCGTTAGCGGCGGGAGTAGCGCTTGACTCCGGAAGGTTTAGACGAGTCGAAACGGGTTCCTAAAGTTGTGGGGACCAGTTTATGATCACGGAGGCACCACGCACTCGCAATCAGGGAGGATTCAAATGGCGAGCAGTGATCACTCATATGCAATCAGGGATCGCGCACATTGAACCTAGTTAGGTTTATGAAAGTTGTCAGAGTCCTATCGACAAGGCATCATGGGCGCGTTGATAGTAGGGATGGTGGTAGTTAGCTGCCTGGTGCACTGGGCCTGTGCCGTGGAAGGCGTGATTCCGTGGAATCTTCAGATGCTTGGTGCGCTGGAGCAGTGAATTCGGTAACCTCCGCGTATTTGTGGATTAGCACGGCCAAAAACAATTGAAACTGAGTAAATAATATGACGGCGGTCAGACAATCATGGAGATTAGTTGCCTTTGAACCAGAAAATCCGAGAATCTGGGAAACTATGAAACTAGGTCACAGAAAAACTTCGAGACTAGACCGGTATAAGGATTTTTCAACGGGCTCGTATTCTACCTATTCTGATTTCGTTTCGTTTCTCTGATTTCGTTTCGTTTCTCTGATTTCGTTTCGTTTCTCTGATCTCGACAGTATGACAAACTATTCTCGCACCCACTAAACACCCCCTGGATCCGGATGTGTCTGTTGCTATTGCTGCCCAACGGCCACGATTTGACATGGAGTTCTCAGTCAGTACATTCTGAAACAGCGGTTGACGTCGATTTAGTGTGGCGAGATGTGGTAAAGCGAGCCATATTTTTTTATTAGCCTATGACTCACAACTACACAAATACTTCCTCTGGTTGAACTCGGTATTTTCTAGCGAAATGAACTCAGAATGTCAATCGCTTTGCTATTACGAATACCAAAAAATAACAATAATAACTAGCAAATAAAGCCAACTCAAACTACAATCAAAGCTAGCTGGTGGGAACAAAACAGATGCAAACATGCAAACAATCTCTATGTTGCATCTGTATTGATCCTACCACCATGAGCTCACAAAAAAACTAATAATCTTCCCGAATCGCCCTACCCCAAAAGCACCCTAAAATTTCCTGAAAAGTCAAGAGGTAGCATGACGGGGGTACCGCATGAAGCATCGGAGAGAGCCATATTTCAACACCCGTTGAGTTAGTTGCTGAAGGCGGTCGCAAATCCTCGGTTTTCCAGTATTTACGCTGAAAGCACCCGTTGTTCCGCGTGCAGCAATGCGGGAGAGCGAGTCGTTGTCGTTGATTGAAGAGCAGTACCGCGCTCGCCTCTCAAGTAGCGAGAGCTGCTGACGCATTCGCGCTGACTACTGCGACACTTATATGGAATGCGACACGTTGACGAATGTGACACTCGATGTTACTAACACGCTTCGTCGTGGCATTGCATCCTCAGTGAACGGATCACCACATACGTGGGAATAGCAACGGGACGCGGGGAAACGCCAGATGTTACTAAATTCCTTTCGGCACCGGAAAATCTGGTTTTGCGCGGAATCTTCTGAGTTTGTGGCGCTGCCGCGGCCGCTGCTGCGGCCGTCGATTCAGCTACGATGGACCCCGCAACGAGCGGCGCAGATAAATCCACCGTGACGGTGGTGCCGTTGAAATCCGCAACGGTGATGTTCAGCAGCTCGGTAAATTTGCCAGCGGCGTCTATGCTACTAGTAGCTGCGGTCGCTGCCCGTGCTCGCTTGACCTTTTCCGTGACAGCTGCCGCGTCGAACGATGCAGCTTCGGGCGTCAGAGGATATTCGCGATCGGGAAATACGGGGCTGACTTGGAGGTCCGCTGCCTGTGCCCGCTCGCTATCTTCCTTGACAGCTGTCGTGTCGAACGATGCAATTTCGGGCGTCAAAGGAGATTCGAGCTCGGGATATTCGGAGGTGACTCGGAGTCCCGATGTGATTATATTTGTCGTTAGTTCCGCGACTGATGATGTGAGTTCCGTTGGGAGGCGGTTGCTGGGAAAGCCGTCGCCGCTATGTAGGATTGCGCTGTGTGCCATGCCGGATATATGAAAAATGCGACTACCTAAAGAGTCAAACACGATCCTGTTCTGAGGTCGAATTATGTAGAGAAAAGGAGAGCTTTGGCTACTCGCTATAATACAAGCTTGCAGCTGGAGAAGTCGATTTTATGCGCTAAAAATCGACATGGAGAGCAGAAAGTAGAATGTGAAGTTTGAGACGGATGGAATAACAGGTTCTTGCTGTCGTAATATATAATTTCACCCGCTTCCAAGCATTCCTTTCTCATCTCACCTCCCCTCTTCCTTCTGTGCATACTGCGGAATGGTGTTCCTCGGGCCAGATGGATCTTTCGAGTCGCACGCTGATACAGCGGGCTGCGGGAGCGAAGAGAAGGGAAAGGAACGAGGGAAGGGAGGGAGCATTGAACCGCGTTGACGACGGGATAATGCATCGAATCGCGAATCGGTGGAAAGCAGACCAGGACAAAGGACACAGAAAGCAAGGACACAGCATTCAGAACCCAGATAGAAAAGGCCGTCCAATACAGCGGTTTGTTCTTTTTGTCAGCAAATGCCCTCCAACATCAATAGTTTATGTTGACATATACATTTCACTTTTATTACCACAGGTTTTGGAACATCAAGCTTCCAACACATACAATTCAAGCCCGACCAATTGTTGGTCAAGCAAAAACCAAGGCCACTGCTTAGACAGCCTCAATCTTCTCCTCCTCCGCGCTCTGCTTGCTGAGAGGAAGCAGATAGACCACCGAGTACGGGATTGCCACAGCAACGCCTGCCATGATCGGTGCAAGCCAGTAGATCCAGTGGTTGGTCCACACACCCTGCCACACCGACGTTCCAAATGCCTGTGCGGGGTTAATAGTTCCACCGGACAGTGGCACACCCACTGCAGTGGTCGTGAGGATGGAAAGGCCAATCATGAGGGGTGCGAGGGCGATAGGCCCCCTGGGATCCACGGCTGTGGAGAAAACGGTGAAGATGAGGAGCGAGGTGAAGAGAAGCACAGCCAGGAAGCCCGTGCCATCTGATGTGCCCGCGGGAAGGGACGCTGCGCCGAGGACCCTCTGTTAGGAAGAAAGCAAACAAGGAATGAACGGAGAATGTAGCTGTGAGTAAAGGTTTCGAAAGAAAGAAAAAGCACTGCATGCAGCAACAGTAGAGAGTTATTATAGTGTGGGGACAATGCACGCACGTTAAGAGCTGAAGGCAGGACAGCAGTTGCAAGGCCGACGCCGACAAGCGCCCCAACCATCTGCCCGATAATGTAGACCAGAGCAGACACCACATCAATCAGGCCAGCAGCGAGCATGGCGACTGTGGTGGCTGGATTCAGGTGACCGCCGGAAACGCCAATCGTGCCAGCCACAGCAAGAGCATAGCCGACGCCGTTACCCAACGCGATGATGACCACCGTTGTGAGTGGCTCGATCTTGGCTCCTGGGCCTGGAGCAATGAAAAGAGGGACAGGTTGGAAGGTCATTAGGAACGAGCAGAGCAATGCGAGGGAGAGTGCAGAAAATCAACAGGTCTTTCAAGGTGTGAAATAAACTCGCGTTCATGTCTTCCTCATTCTGAAAACCACAGAGTGGCCGCTACGTAGACTGGTAGGTGCATGCGTTGGTTTAGGCTCCTGACATGCCCTAGCTTTGGCAATGATGCCAGAAATAATTGCTCGTGCGCCGCAAAGGAGCACCAAATGCTTACTGCCTCTCCCCACTAACAACTATTTCGCCCTCTAAACGATGTCAAGTAACAAACACTTCTTTAAAACTAAACAGAAAGGGAAAACGGCTTGCTAAGCGTTGGCAGCAAGCGAGAAATGGCAAGCGACTTACTGGAGACGGCGGAGCACAGCACGCCTTGGAAGACGTTTACGAGACGTCTCAAACAAACTTCATTATCACGTTGGTAGCAAGGGAGAAATGGCAGGCGACTTACTGGTGACGGCGGAGCAGAGCACGCCTTGGAAGACGAAGTACATGGTTCCCAGGATTTCCGCAATCGCGCACTGGAGAAGCACCATCGGCGGCTTGAACTGCATCCATTGCTTGAACACCTGAGGCGCCTTCGCCATTTTTTCAAGTTGGAAGAATCGAAACCGCTGCTAAGGCAAGGCAGCGAAGGCGAGCCGAAACTCGCGTTTTGAGGCGACGGATATGTCGAAGGTGAATTGAACACGAGCTTGATATCGACTGCATTTCGGGTTTCTATTTATGCACGAGTTTGATGTGCTCCAGACTCACCTCACCACTGCTTCTCGTCTCGTGTGAAGGATAGGCTTTCCCCCCCCAGCTTACATCCCGAAGGTACATGAATTGACATGGAACCTATAGCGCGTGCGGATCGCATGGCGGCTAGGAGCCTCCTAGACAGGCACTCAGACTAAGTCTCAATCAATCGAGGAGCGACTGTGAACCACGTATTCGTCATTCTGTCTTAGGCGCCACCTGCTCTGGTACCCTCCCCCCCTAGTCCACTTTCTCCTGCTCGTTAACCCACACTGATTGTCCATCAGCTTGTATACCGTGGCGGTGGTTCCAGGTCAAAATAGGGTGGTGCTGATGCGAGATGTGGAGCTTGTGTCTCAGTCATTGGTGGCGACTACGGTTCCAGGTCAAAATCGGAATGGTGGTGAAAGGGAGAAATTGAGGTTGGATGAAGAAATTCCCGATTGTCCTTGCTTATGGTGCAGGGAGGAGAAAGCACCGCACCCAGGTTTCCTACCAGGTACTGTATGTCCCTCTCTACACTTCACAAATATTTCTCAGAGATGCATTCATCCCTTGTTTCTGTCAACGACAGCTCTCTCCAATGAGGAGGGGCTTGTTACTGTAGATTGACCAGCTAGCACTCGTGCGAAATCCAG